CAGATTTGTTGAGCCTCAGTTTCATTATCTGTAAAATGATACCATTATTTGCATAACCTACTTACAGGAATATTGTGAAGAAAGCATTTTGTAAACCATAAAATGCTATATGTACAACTTGCAGCATCCTCGATTACATGTGACTATCCTTAACCTGAAAAAAAAAATAACTATCCCATATTCAAGGTAATCTTGTTTTTTGCATGCTTGAAACATAGTTCACAAGCTCCAACTGATGTGTTTATATTTACTAATTAGTCAGAGGAGACAGTTCAAAGCTGAGGCATTTAATGAAGAAACATAGTAAGAAAATTAATATCCCCTGCCCTCACCCCATACACCTGGGATGCATTCATTTATAACGACATATATTCACTACACTGGTGTACAGAGTGAATATGCATAAGGGAAAGATATGGAGCACTCATAGTAAATGTGTGGCTAGGGCACATGTATGGGTACATGTAGGGCACATATATAGGACGTATATATGAGGAAAACAATGATGGGAACATTTGTGTAGAAATGCCTGATACACAGGGATCATATAGGGCTAGTGATATATTGAAGGAGATATATAGGGAATGCCTATGGTGAGCACTTGTATGGAAAGGAAACTCACTTCTGGTACTGTAGGGCTGCTGATATGTTCTGAAGACATCATTGCACTGACCTGCCAGCTGCCCCATCATTACTATGCCCTGTTGGCATCATGTCACATTCCAACTACTCCCTACTGCCCTCCCTTCTTGGACTTAGTTGTAATCTTCAGCTGAGAAGCTTATCTTTTTCCCGTAAGAGAAGTTGGCTCTGCCACCTTTTTAAAGCTTATAACCCACAGCCTATCCCTTTAGCTCTTTCTGTGACAAAGGCAGGCTCTTGAGCTTACCCAACCATCAGATTAGGGAAAAGCAGTTTTTCTTTGATAAGAAGAGAGGTCTATTAGCCTCAAGAGGCTAAGCTCATTTGGATCAGAGGTCAGGCAGCTAATTAGAGCCTCCAAGGACAAGCATGGCTTAGGCTATAGTGGGGTTAGCCCCAGGAGTAGCAGGATGGGGAAGAGTGTTATATATCTATTTTGTAAGCTTAATCAATATGCCCACACATAGTTAAATGTTAAGGGGGAACCTGGGCTTTTCTGGATATAGAGTATAGAGGCACTTTGAGGGTCTTTGGAACAGGTCCACATTATCTAAGATGGAGATTTCTTCCATTTGCCCCCTACCACATGAGCAGATGAAGTCTCCTTTGATTACCTGCCTACATCTTTAAACTGAGCAGAACCAACCTGATCCATCTCTTTCTCTCTCTCTCTCTCTCTCTCTCTCTCTCTCTCTCTCTCTCTCTCTCTCTCTCTCTCTCTCTCTCTCTGTTTCTCTCTCGCTGTCTCTCTCTGTGTTTCTGTCTCTCTGTCTGTCTGTCAGTCTCTCTCTCCCCACTCCTAATTTCTGCTTCACTTTTTCTTGCTTTGTCCATAGAGTGAAGAACCTACTTCACCCATGGCACAGGTGCTATGAACTGAATTGGTAAGAGGGGAAAGACTTTCTTCCCCTGTGCTGAGAAATGGGCGTGGGGTGTTTCTGTTTCTGTTCTGTGTCATTTGTCCTTTTTAGTTTCTAGGTGAATATTTTGGTGCAAAAGCCAGTCTAATTGTTATTGGTTAAATGGAATTGGAGTACAGAAGAATGCTCCCTGTAGTTGAAGGAGCTCCATTGGTAGGGTCAGGAGCTATTGGCAAAGAGGTTAAATATCCCTAAACCCTTTAGGGTACTGCAGAGGCCTGGGGAGGGATAAATTCTAACCCACCTGACTTTTCAGGCAGTGAGGGCCGTGGTAGTCAGTGTTACACAGGTAAAAAGCTAAATAAAACCTAGCTAGGTCTAACATTTTTGTCATCCTCATTTAGACCACCCCCAAGATTAAGTTTTGTCTTGGAAAGGTTGGCTAAGGGGCCTTGGTGGTGCCAAAATCCTTATTATGACTTTTACCCATATGGAATTTGAGGATGAAAAGAGTTACTTTTTATACTGCCTACCAATTCTACTAGATACTATTATCATTATGTAATAGATGATACCTGGAGATAACTAGGGTATGACTGAAAGAGCATTATATATAAAGCCTTGCAGGTTTGAGACTAAATGATTGTGAGCAAGTCACAGAGCCTCTCTATGCCTCAATTTCACCATTTGTAAAATGGAGATAATAAGTACAGCACTTGACTCTTAAGGTTTTGTGAGCATCAAATAAAATGTATACATGGTACTTTTTAGAAGCACTAGTAAAGTGCAAGCTATTTTCCTTTATAGGTAATGTGAATTCAATAACTTGGTAAAATGTAATTCTTCTTTTATAATGTCTTGCCATAGTTGTGAGAACTATCAAATAAATAACTCGTGAACTCTGTGGGAGAGTTAGAGAGTAACATTCTGAATATGTGATCAAATTCTTCTTTCCAAATGGATTGCATACTGCCATTTCCGGTAGGTTGCCAATGTTCTGATTTGGGAAAGTAGAAAGTTCTTCTGCATTAGGAAATGGCCTATTAATGATATAAGAGGATCCCATTATGTTTCCAATGAGGGATGGAATAAATGGAGGGTAGCAAACTAAATCTAGTTAGACTTTGAGGTGGCTGGTGGCTGGGGTGGGGTTGGAGCGGGGAAACATTCAAATAATTCTGATGAATGCTTCTGTTGTGGCTACCATGACTGTACAGATACCTGCTGTTCTAAGGAAGCCTCGGGACAATCTGGCATTAGTGGACCATGCTGATCAAATCATGAATCCTTGTAATGGTGAATTCAATCTATATGATGAGTTTGGCGTTCAGAAAGAGAGGAAGGGAAAAGGCATTTGTTTGATTGGTAAAACTGACAGCCCTGGGATTTAGTCTCATAGAGAAGTTTGTGCTGTCCTGATTTTGGAAATTGTTTGATATGTATATGTATTTTATTCAGACGGTTATTTCTTAGGCTCTAATCCAGGGCAGTTATAAATGTACATAGGCCTTTAAAGGCAGCACACAACTAAACATTACACATTTTGAAGGAAGATGCTATGTGCATCCAGAGAAAGAACTGACAAATAGAAGTATATATGAATGATTTTATATATATATATATATATATATGTGTATATATATATATATATATATATATGTGTATATATATATATATATAAGTATATATATGTATATATATATGTGTGTGTGTGTGTGTGTGTGCATATACATATGTAAATATATATATATATGGATATGTGTCTCTGTGTGTGTGTCTAATGGTAGCCATCTCTAGGGTGGGAGTAGGGGAAAGAAGAAAAAAATAGAAAAAAATTTTACATGATAACTTTATTATGTACTTAAAAGGAATAGCAAGTTGTACCTAATATGTTTGCAGTTTCATGGGCAATCATCTTTTTTATCATACTATGTCATGGAAATGCTTGTTTTATTCTATTAATTAAAAATAAAATATTTTTTTCACTAAATTATATCCTTCATTATAGTGCCATTACAAATAAGTCTCTAGTAGAAGATAAATGCCAAAGGATGATGAGTCCAAGTGTTCCTTGGGGTGGATAGGGAGAGAACAAAGGCATGAACTTGTATAATCGTGCTGCCATGACCAGCATGTGAATTTATCCGTGTGTGGGAGAATCTCACAGGATCATAGGGGAACTTAGAGGCCATCTACTCCAACTGCCTCATTTGACAGAAGAGAAACCTGAGACTTAAAATAAGTGACTTGCCTATGGTCACACAGGTACTAAGTAATAGAGGCAGGATTTGAACCCAGGTCTTCCTGACTTCTTGCTCCAATGCTTTATTCTCTCTGCCATGATGTTGCCTCTCTTTTATTCTGCCCTCCTCTGTTTCTTCTTTTCCCATAGACACTTTGCTTCATCTCTAAGTTGTTCTGAGTGAACTGACTCCATAGGGAACTGGTGAATGTGTCCTTTTAAAGGTGCCACAAAGTTTGCTGGCTCTTCAGTTTTTCTTCTTGCCATTGTATTGTGGCTGTGGCGGTGATTGAAACATTTCACTGCCATAAGCTTGTCCCTGACTGGAATGAGGAAAGGGGCGATGGGATAGAACTAGATTCTTCTTGTCTCTGTACCTGTGAGAATATATACTTGGTGCTTTCCTAGGTTCAGAAGGGACATGTAATCAATTGCCATGATACCTCACTTATCTGAGGATCTTTTATCCTGCAACCCCAACTATCTGGGATATAGTTAAAGATAATGAGCAAAGAAAAATTGAAGCGAAAAACAATTCTGAGCCAAACTGAGGTCACCAAGTTACTAACACTCAGTTCTACTTACCCCCAAGAGCTCTTTGAGCCTATTTAGACACAATTCTCATAAGATTAGCAATTTGGTTCCCCAGGTATGGGGAATTAGAAGTAGTAAATTGGAAGGGAGCCAGCAGCTGTTAAAAGGGCACACATTAATCACAGCAATAAGTGATTACATGATAGTGAAGGAAGAAATTTTTTAAAAAAGAAACCTACAAAGAGGACATTTAAGAATCCTCGAAGCCTAGAGGAGTGTAGCCATTTAATGTAAAGACATAGAGCCTTATACACATCAATAGCACCTGACTTTGTGTTATTTAACATTTCTCTAAGTGATCTGGATAAAGGTATTAGTGACATGCTTCTCATGTTTGCAGATGATAGAAGGGTGGAAGAAAAGCTAATGTTCTGGATAATAGAATCAAGATGCAAAAAGAGCTTGGCAAGAAAGAATATTGGGGGCCTAATCTAACAGGTTAAAATTCAAAAGGAATGAATTACAAAATTTTGTATTTATATTTGGGTTAAAATAAATTTCCAAACATGAAATGAGAGGGATTCTGAAAAAACTATGGGATTGAGTATAGTGAATAGGAGGCTCAACTAAAGTCATTAACATTATATAATAATGATAACAGTAGCTAACATTTATGTAGCGTTTACTATGTGCCAGGTGCTATGCTAAATGTTTCACACATATTATTTCATTGGATCCCAACAGCAATCCTGGGAGGTATGTGCTATTATTATCCCCTTTTTACAGATGAGGAAATTCCCACATGTTAGTGTTTCCTGGAACAAAAGGGAAATTGCTGCTAGTGGGGTTATCCAGAAACCATTCAGCAAATGGAAAGACTCAAGTGAAGTGAAGTGACTCTATTATGATTGTGGGTTACATTAAGAAAAGAATAGTGTCCAGGACTAGGGAAATAATATTCCTGCTCTACGGCTGTCAGATACCATCTGGAGTGTCGTTTTTCAATTTTGGGAGCCACATTTTAGGAAGCATTAACAAGCAGGACAACTTCTGAAGGAAGATAAGCAAAATGCTGAAGGGCCTTAAGTTCATGCCTTAGGAGGAAGGATTAGAAAAAAAACTTGACGTTTTTAGCCTAAGGAAGAGAAGACTTTGTACTGGTAGAAGTGGAAGCATGATAATGGTCTTCAGCTATTTGAAGTGTTAGCATGAGAAAGAGGGATTAGATTTGTTCTCCTTGGCCACAAAAAGCAGAACTAGCAACTCTGAGTGGCAATTGTAGAAAGGCAGGTTTTGGTTCCATGTAAAGAAAAATGTCCTAAGATTGGGTTATCCCAAAAGTGCAACAGGACATCATTAGGATGTGGTGTGTTCTCCATTCCTGGACATTTTCAAGTGGAGGTTGGATGGCTACTTAGCGGTGTGAATTGATTCAGATTGTCTCTGAAGTTTTAAGAGGCAGTCTAAGGATTTGATCTTAAGTATAAAATTAGATAATATTTGTAAATCATTTAGTATAGTGTCTGGCACACAGTAGGCAATTAATAAATGCTTGATCCCTTCCTTTAAGTCTCTTTTGTATCCGAGTTTCTGTGATGCTGTGAATATTTACATAAAAATGTTTAACTAAAAAAAAGTTTTCACATTTAAAAGAATAAGCTTTAGTTATATGGAACATAATTTATGTGGAATACTTCATGCCCCTTTGATGCTGAATAAACAAGGCATTATAGTTTAAGTCCATTCTTTTTTTAGATTGATTTTTTCTGCCCTTTGAGAGAAAAAAAAATGCCATAAAACCTTTTCTTCAGCTATGTCTCCCTGTACTCCTCAAATAGCCAGTTTGAAATCTGAGTCATTTGGAAATATGTCATTGTTGACTTTTACTTTACCCTCCTCCACTGTATTACTTCCCCTCCTTTTGACAAACCGTCTACAGCAAAACCCTTCCATTCACCAGAACAACTAAAACAAAAACCTCCTTAGCCTTAGCCATAACTACGGTAATAATCTTGAGTCTTTCCATTTTCTGAATGGTTTCTGGATCACCCCGCTGGCAGCAATTTCCCTTTTCTTCCAAGAAACACTAACATGTGGGAGAAAACATGACCAAGCACATAAAACACTGGATTTGGATTCTGGAAGATCTGGGTTTGAATGATCTCAGGTGCTTCAGAACACCTGTGTGACCCTGGAGAAGATACTTCACCTTACTAGGCCTCAGTTTCCTCATCTGTAAAATGAAACTATTGGGATTGGTGGCCTCCAAGTTCCCTTCCCTTTCTAAATCTATGGTCTTATGATGCCATAATGTTTCTGCACTATTATGACCAATAAAATTATTGGCTTTGGGTTGTTTGTTTCTCTAAATTTGTGTTCTTAGGCTTGGCTTGAATATAGGAGCCTTACTCCTTCCCCTTGGGTTTTTTCAGAATTCATTTTTCTAACCCATCTTTTTAGTTTACTTTTCCATGTGCTTTTGTCAAAGACAAAATGGCTTACCTGGTCCTCCAACAATTAAAAATCAAAAATTGGCTAATTAAATTACTTTACTTCTTACTTAGCCAAATCGAGAATTTTCTACTAATTTCTCTAATGGCTGTGCCTTCTTTTACAATTCATCTCTTTTAACAACAGAGAATTTTTCTTTTATGTATCCAACTTTATTCTCTAATAAGAAGTCTGTTGTTTACACCATTGTTCACTGTCTTAGTTTCTTTAAATCTAAGAATACAGGGGAAAATCTTTATAAAAAAGCCAAGACTTCTCAAGTTGCCTCTTCTTTTCTTTGACTGTTTTGATTTAAAAAAAAAGAGCATCATGATCAACAATGTCTTATCCACACAAAATATTATTTTCTTCTCTTGATTCTTTTGTGGAACAGGACCTAGTGAGGTCCTAAAATAGATTTCTTCTGGTTTGAAAATTCCATTTTCAAAACATGAGTTACTTCAATTTAGGGACTTTTAAGGCCAGTAGGGTTAGTAAGCAAGGAAGACATGGAAGTGAATGCTCCTTCTTTTTGGAGATCTCAAAGCAACTTAAGAATCCTTGGTTGTTGAATGATGGGGACCTCAGTATTCTTGAGCATGGGAGAAATTGTCATATGGAGAGAGCAGTCAGTCAAAATGGAGGCTTTCTTCTGAATTTTCTTTTGTTGTTCATATGACTCTTTTAAAAATCATTACCTAGCTACTTAGTAGTGAATATCAGCTAAGTGCCCCTTATGAATCAAAGATTAATAATTACATTTGTTTCCAGAACAGCAGAACATCTTTCTGAAAGTACTCCGCAGTTCTGGGCTCCGAAATGCATAGATCATTGGGTCTATAACGGCATTACACATAATTAACATTCCATTCACCTGGAAGATGGACAAGTAGCAGGCACAGTAAGGATTATTTGGGCAGAATGTCACCAGAAGGATATGGAGGACAAAGGGGGCCCAGCAGCAAAGGAAGATGCCAAGTAGGATGGTGAGTGTGATGGCTCCTTTCATGTTGACTCTTGGGTGCACTCTATTTGAGGGTAAAGAGGTGATCTTCTTGGCATGGGAATGAGCCAGTAGGAACATATGCACATAGAGACACAGGATAAAAATGAGCATCAAAGGGAACAGTGAAGTGAAGGAGATGACAGTAGGCACATCATAGGAGAAGATGACCATGGTAATACCACTTCCGGTACAAAATGCCCAGATTACTGCTAAGATACTTATAGCACGTCTCATTGTCATGATGCTGTGATACTGCAGAGCATGGAAAATTGTAATGTAGCGGTCAGCAGCAATCACTGATAAGCTGAAAATAGACCCAAGCAATGAAAGGATGAACAGGGAGTCTACAACATCATCTGCTGTGGTTTCAAAATCTCCACGAGGCTTGAGATAGCCCATGTTCCGGAAGATGATTAGGATGTTCTCTAGGATTTTATATAGGCTTCCCAACATGTCTGAAACTGCTAAGCTACAGATGAAAAAATACATGGGGGAATGGAGGTTTCTGTTCTTGATCACAGCCAGGAGGACCAGAAGATTCTCCAAGACTCCAATGATGGAAATGGCAAAGAACACTTCTTCTGGGACCACAACTTGGATGCAGTCTGTGTTGTTTGTGGAGTTTTCAGTGATATTTTCAGGTGCATTGCCACCATGTCCCAGAATCTTAATCAATTCATGAGCTCTATCTGTCCGCATTTCTTCCTATCTTAGTGCTAAGGCGAAGATATTACTCAGATTTGATTTCCCAGAAAAATTGATCTGTTACTTGGAATAGTTTCCTTTTTTTCCGAGTGGAGCACCTGCTGGGGACTTGATGGAAAAATACTGCTGCCTAAAGAATAATACATAAAGATATCAGTCACAAAACAGATGAATAAATATAAACAGGGGCAGCTAGGTGCTGCAGTGGGTACAGCACCAGGCCTGGAGTCAGGAAGACTCTTCTTCCAAACTTAAAATCTAGCCTCAGACACTTACCAGTTATATGACTTTGAGCTCAGTTCCTTATCTGTAAAATGAGCTAGAGGAGGAAATGGCAAATCACTCCAATGACCCAAATGGTGTCACAAAGATTTGGACATGACTGAAAAATGACTGAACAACAACAACAAATATAAACAAGATCCAGGCTATTAGAATCATAGAATGTAAGAACTGAAAGGAGCGACAAATGAGCAAACTGAGGCTATGGCCTATTCAAAGTCATATATCTGTAGGTAGTAGAACTTGGATTGGAATTTGGGTTTCTTGTGCACAAACCATCTTACTATACTATACCACCCACTTAACTCTACTAAGTCAGCCCTAGTATTTGACATTTCTAATTAAATTGATTTAAGTGAAATTATTTTCCAGTCTCTCACACCAATCCTATGACTTAATTTGATAGTCACTAAGTGTGTGTTTGCATAGGGGAAGTTAGGGGGAAACCACTTTGGAACCCAGAACAAATCACACTCTTTGCTCTTTGAAAAATTGAAATTGAAAGCTGTCTTCTCAACATGGCAGAAGGTAAGCTCCTTGAGAGCAGGGGCTATCTCACTTCTGTATTTGTAGCTACTTAAATGCTTCTGATTGATTGGGTTATTGTTTTCTGTTATAACATAGCTTCTGTAGTCTCTCAGTCCTTTAAATACATAATCACAAGTGTCTGAATTGGAGCTTAACTATAGAGTAGGCTCTCAGGGCTGCTAGCACTAGCATCTAGCACTACCGTTCTGGCTATATTATCTATGTACTTGGGGAGGCCTGCAAGGCCTAGGCTCACCAAGTCTGTTAAGGGCCAGCATTTCTCAGTCTCTTCCAAGTCAGAGGTATCAAATTTAAGCAAACTCCAGAGTTCACCCAAACCAGATTAAATGCAATTTGGAAATGTTTGATAAAATAAATAAAAATACAATACAGCATCATGTTTATTTGTGGTTTTCTAAGTCAACTGCCACTCTCAGGCATCAGTTTCTATTTGAGTTTGACACCACTGTCACACCTACATATTGGCTTTTACACTGCCTGAATGCTGAACTCCCCAAAATAAAGACATAATTGTGTTCAAGAAGAAGCTATTTAATGAAAATTATAAGGCATCTTGACTTGAGGGAAATTCTTAGTTCAATGATACACTTTTTTCCCCCAGCAGCCTTCTTTCCTGGATTTGGTAGTAGGATCTCAAAGTCAATAAGTCTAAAAGTAAGCTAATTATCTTTCCTTTAAACTCCATTCTTCCATCTGACTTTACCATTTCTATCATCTGTACCATTAGTCAGTCAGTCTTCCATGTTTGAAACTTCAGTATTCTTTCCCCTCTCCATCACTTTACCTATCTAATCAGTTGCAAAGTCCTGTCAATTCTGCCTTGTATCTATCCTTTCCTCCCCTGTCTCCTTTTCAAACCCTAGTACAGTTCTTTCTTACCATCAACCAGGATAATTATAAACATCCTTTAATAGGTATTTTTCCACCTTCACTTTCTCCCATTGCAATCTGTCCTTCACGCTGCTGCCAACATCTTCCTTGGGCATAAATCTGGTGATGACTTTTTTTTTTTAACTAAAACCTCTTTGATAGTTATCTTTTGTAGACCAAGTAAAGCTCAAACTCTTTTGCCTTGGCATTCAAGGTTTTCCAAAATTTTGCACCTCCTTATTTTTCTAGCTTTGTTTCAAGCTACTTCTCTGTGCTCCAGTCAAAATGGACTACTTGTGGTCTTCTGAATGAATATTCTCATGCTCTCTCCTCTCTCTGCTCATAATGCTATGTTTTTTTCTATGTCTGGAATGCTTCCCTCTTGTGTTTGTTCAATTCCTTTTAAAGCTCGGTTTGAATGCTAGGTCCTCCAGGAAGCCTGTGATTCCTATTCCCCCTCCCTGTCCTTCCCAGGACTTCATGTAACAGTTTACTTTTACTTTTTAAATGCTCTTATCTATCATATATTAATTTGTACTATAGCTATGTGTCCTATGCTCCTATTATATTTGCAAATCTCCTTATTGTTCTCTTTGCCCTCCAGGTCTTCATTTGCTTTCTCCTTTACTGGGCATTGATATATTTCTCAAATCCTCTATCCTGCAGGAATTTGAAATAGACTCACTAGGATCAATAAAAAAAAATTGTTCCGTACTACATGCCAGACACTATACTAAATGCTGGGGATACCAAACAAAAACGAAAACAAAAAACAAAAGGGAAAAGACATCTTCTGCCCTCAGGGGAGCTTAAGATCTCAGTGCTTACAGTTTACTCAGTGTGTTCTCCAGTCTCCACTACCTAGCTTTTTCTTTCCATTCACTCATTCACTGTAGCGACATCAAATTGAAAGAAATTGAAAACAAGCAACCCAGAGCAAAGGTCTCAAATACTGATGCTTTTTCCTTTGAGTTACAAAGCACATTAGTGAATGTATGTAAAAAGACAGTTCTGTGACTAATTATGTACTGTGTATCTATAGAAAGGGCACAAAATAATGTTGATGCTCAAATACTCAGCAGTAATCTTGCAGTATAAGATTATCACAAGGATCCTTAGTAGATGAGACCTAGGAAATTGCTTGAGGAACTTAGAAGTTAAGTGATTTGTCCCAAGACACATAGTCAGTAGATGTCAGGGGCAGGGATTGAAACTAGGTCTTCCTGACTTCCTTTAGACTGTAAGCTCAAAAGCAGGGACTATCTATCTTTTGCCTTTCTTTGTATCCTCAGCACTTAGCATGGTGCCTGGCACATAGTAGGCCCTTAATAAAGAAATGCTTGTTGACCGAGTGACTCTAAGGCTGGTCTTATTCCACTATATATTCTTATTCCACTTATTCTACTACCTTTCTTTAAAAACAAATACCCCAAACCAAATGCATGTCAATGATTCACAGAATATTTAATGGTAAATTAAAAGTAATCAAGCTCTTCGCCTCCCAGAGATTTAACTTTCCTCATTTCTGTGGGGAGGTGGGGAAGGGAAGCAGTGAACGTGAGATACTGGAAGCTCACCTCTGAATGAAATCTGAATGCTTACAATCCTTGAAAGAACAATGTTCCTTGAAAACGCTTTTGGTTTTTCTTCAGTACAATCAAAACCAAAGTTTCAGCAAGGCCTGTACAAATGATGGGAGCAAACAGCCTCACTTTGAAGAGAATACCTTCAGATGGAGAAACGATTGCTGAAATAAAGGATAAACAAGGCATTTTAGAAAATAAATCCTAAAGCTGCTCTTCAACAAAGAGACAATCAATGTATTTGTAAACTAACTTTGGCTTTTTCCAGGAGTTGACTGAGGGCTAATGATATGTAAGTTTGTTCTCTGTCAAGCTAGCATTTTGTTTTGATGTCATTTTTTCATCAGTCAACAACTTTTTATTGAGCACCTACTATGTATATAGTAATATGACCATCTTCTGAATGGAGAGCCAATAAAGCAGAATTAATCAGGATTAAACTTTAGACAAATCTTGGTTCAAAGTAGGATTCATTAAATTATGTTCCTTGTGTCTAATTTCTCAGCTCTGGAATTTACTTCTTGCCTGAGACAAAGACTGAGTTAGACACCTTGATCTATCAATAACAAGGATGTTATAAGGATATTCCTCCTTTAGTAGAGTAAAAAGTAAAAGTCATTTCTTACCCATTAATTGTCCAGCAAAAATAGAGATAGATATGGCTCAAGGAGTGAAGGAGCACACACCATTTAAATTGTGGCAATTACTCTGGAAATTCAGTCTACAGCCACTTTCTTTCTTTAAATTTCCTCCACCCCAGTTCAAAAGGTCTGGGCTAACAGCATGCTTAGCTAAACAAATGGGACTAAGAATTCCAATTTTTGGAGGTAGCTTTGGAAGATGATCTGTGTATATGAAACCTGGAGGGGGATCAAGACTCATTATTTTAAAAGATAAGGCCATGGCCAAAGAATTCACCAGCTAATGGCCAGCTTATCCAGAATGATATTTTATCCTTATCATTTTGATTGACTAAAAAAACTTAAGGACGTTTTGTCAACTATTTAAGACCCAGCATTTAACAAGATAGATGTCTTCACTGACTTTAGAGTTATAGCCTAATGAATATATGTCATATTATGTTCCTGGGTAGCTGGTCTTTCCAGTTTAACTAGTAAAAATAAAACTTGCCACAAAATACAGTTTTTCCCTTGGTGCTTTATACCTCCCATATGCACTTAGCCCATTGTTCCACATACGAGATAGTAATTTGAAGACAAGTCTTTATCTTCCCTCCAAAATTGTAAACTCCTTTAGGGAAGCTATGCAGACTTATTTATCTTCCTCAGCCTAGTATGGTGCTTTGGATATAATGTATACTTAACACATGTTTGAATGAATGAATAAACAATATCACCATGGTGGATTTTCTAACCATTTCTCTCTCAGTTCATCTAAGAAAAGGGGTCCCAGATTAGTGAATCTGTGAAATCATCCTTACTCCAAATTCCAAAGTGACAAAGGGCATTACTATTTAGAGTGGGCTCTGCAAGGGAGAACTATAGGTACAGCGAATATGTGTTCTAGATTTTCTATGTTAGTCTTAACCTCAAACATTCTGTTCTGTTGTCTCTAGAAATTATTACATTTTGGCATAATTTTCAAATTTTGGACAAACAATAACTGAAGAGCATATATTTAAAGGCTTCAGAAAATGGTTAGACAGGATCATCCAGAGTAAAATCATACAGAGAAAGTCAGTCAAGAATGGATAGGAAGGTCTTAAGAATGAAATTCTGCATACACAAAGAGAAACAATCCTAGGGAGAGGGGAAAAAGAAAGCTGTCTCTGGGACCACAGGGAACTAAAGCCATGTCTTGGATAAACAGTCAGAATTCAAAATGATGTGAAAGGAGTAACTATTCAACCAAATTGAATAAGGTGAAATTTAATAAATTTAATAGGGATGGTATAAAATCTTAGATTACAAAATCAATTTCACAAGTATGAAGTAGAATAAGTATAGCTGGATAGCATTTCTTTGAGGGGCTATACTGTAAGAAAAAAGATTGGGCTTGTTATGCTGGGCCCAGAAGGCAGAATGAGGATAAATAAGTTGATGTTACAGATAGGAAGACTTATCTTTAATGTCATCATAACTTTTCTAAGAATTAGATCAATTGAAAATGGAATGAACTGCCTTAGGGATGGTCTCCCCTTCATTGTAGGTATTCAGGCAAAGGCTAGATCACCACTTTTTGGATAAAATGTAGAACATATTCTTGTTATTCTCTAAGCTTAACTGATGGCCTCTGAGGTAATTTCTAATTCAAATTCTGTAATATTAAAGCAACACATTTGCAAATGAGTAAATACAATGTAATTTGGTGGTGGTAGATGAACGTTACCAGTAACCGGAGGCTTCAGAGTCAGTCTTCTGCAGAGGTAATAATTGAGTTGAAGCGTGAAAGGAACTAGGATCTGTAAGAGGTGCAGGTGAGAAAGGAGTGTATTCTAGAAAAATGGAACAATTTGTGCAAGGCAATGATGTGAGATGGAATGTCATGTAGTGGTTATAGCACATAGGTCAATTCAGCTAGACCAGACAATGTGTGAAGGGAACATGTAAAATGATCCTGTAGTGAATGGTCGAAGCCATATTGTGAACAGGAAATTTTGCAAAAAAAAAAAAATCATAGCTAATAGAGAGTCAATGGGGTTTCTTGAGCAGGAGATAAGAGTCTTAGTAAGACCTGTGCTTTAGGAATATCAGTTTGGTAACCAGGTAGGGGGATGGACTGATGAGTGGAGAGACAAAGCAGGGAGATCAAATTTTACATAAATTTATAAATCCAGAAAAAACACTGTCAGACTTTGTATTCTTAACTTTCAGCTCAGAAAAAAAAATGGTCACCTTTGAATATAAGAAAATGTATGTAACTGGGGAACTAATCTGTCCATAATTTGTGAGTGGTTGTCTGCTTGGAGATAAGTACTTTGTTCTTTCTTGTTTCATGTTCCTAAATCTTCAATAGCTTGTACAATGCTATATAGCCTTTAAACATCCATAAATATAAGTTGACTACGTGGACATATTATAAAAGTGACTACTCATGAATTGAGGTGTTTTTCCCTAAAGAAAGAATCTAAACTTTTATTTGTATTGAATGAAATTAATTCCCTTTTCCAATAACTCTGTTTGATGCAAGCTCCTAGCTCTGGGATTTAGTTAATGAGCTGTAGAAGCCAATATTATTAATTACAGCACTCTAGTTCTGAGAAGATTCCTTAGGTTAATTTCTTTACTTTGCATAATTCACCAGGCATTTCTATAGTTTTATCTTTGTGCTTCAAAGACTTTGCAAATTAAGCCTTGAGAAATTTCCTTCATAGTGACCTGAGTGCTGCAGGTATTGGAGGTGAGTGAATATTGATTTCCAAAAGTTAGAAATGTAATTTCCTATGGCTGTGTGTATATATAGGCTGTCTTAACTGTACTCTTGTGCAGGGCTTTATCATTTTAAAGCTTGTTGAACTGGTGATACAATATATTATATATGTTGTGCATCTGTTAATATTTAAACTTTAGCAAGAGAATTACATCACAGAAAGCAGGAAAACTCAGAGTCCCAAAGGACTACTCCAAGAAAAGATAAGTCTATAAGTTATATTTGGTAGAATTAGAGTATCCTGGGGATCATCAAGGATGCTGCTGAGAATGTCTTTAGAGGTTGCTTTTTTATCATTAAATGAAATAAAACATGATTTCTGATTTTTTTGAAAAACATCTCGATTTTTTTCCTTCAAGATAAAAGTTGCCAGAACTATCATCAATCCCATCATTAACATTTCAGTTCACTATGAGATATACATATGGATAACATTTTTGGCTGTAAAGAAATTGGTCATAATTATTCCTATAATATTTGCCTCTAAAGTGCATTTTATATGCAAAAAATTTAAATTAATATCAATTTCCCCCTTGCAAATCATATTATATAAACCAAATTAAGATGGAAGATCTAATTATGAAAATGGAGAAGATGGATTTACATGATGCTTATCTCTTGTTTAAGTATCTTCAAAGGAAGCAGTATAATTTTCTGAGAAAGGAAGAACCATATTTTTTCATAGTAAGGTTTAGCTAAAGTACAGTCTATATTCTGAAAGTTCTGTTCCTGTTGTGACATTCTACCTTTGAAGTTCACATTTTTTGTCCCAATGATTCATCATTGTGTCATCTTATTTTTTTTTGTAGATAATAAAATTCTCATAAACAATGTTCTTGGAATCATCACTCCATGAAAGCAAAGTCTGAGAAGTTGGTGTGTGGTTGGTATCTTTAAAGGAAGTATTTGAAAGCAGATCAAGGCTTTGGGGAGGACAGTTGGATTTTTGATGTATTCTCCACAGAGTTTGCAGTTTCCATGAAAACAAATACTGGTCTTAGGCTTAAACAAAACCAGGGCTGACCCAGTGAATATTTAGGAATGTCTCAAAAAGAAACTTACCATCCTTTTTCTTTTCTTGATATGTTATTCTAATTTCATTTTCATTAGACAATTTAGAAAATGTTTATGGAGAACCTGTACATGATAGATACATAGGCCAAGGACAAGGCAGGAGGAGAAAGCAGCAGAGCCCATTAGGAAAAGTATGTATTAGTAAATGTGGGCAGTGTCAATGAAAATTATTGAGTTCCAAACAGGGCATTTGTTGGTCCTATGAAATTTAAAAAATACTAGGTATAGTTTATGTGTAAATATACAATCAGTTTCAATGATTGGCTGTTATGTTCTAACCTTGAGGTAGGTCATTCCAGGATGACCATGTTATCACTTAATGTGAATTTCATTATAACATCTCTTTTTTATGCCTAATTATCACCTAATTTTTGTTAAGAGAACCCTTGCAATTGCTGGTGTGTTGGAGATGGAAACAGTATATTGCAATTTAAAGTCCCAATTTTTAATAGACTGTCTATTGACATGATATCTTCCTAACTCATTACCTTATCTCCAGTTTCTTCTATTCCAATCCATCTTGTGAACAACTGCCAGAAGAATCATCCTGAAATACTTATTTTCCTATCTTACTGTTGGTGCTTGCTGCTCAAAATACTTCAATGGCTGCTCATTTTCTTTTAGAAGAAAGTTAAAATTCTCTGGCATAGCATTGAAAACCATCTACTACCCATCTTCATAACCATATCTCCCACAAAAT